TCAGGTTTTAAGTAAAATAATTTCGTCTTCTATGAAAAACTATTTCGACTTTTTTCTTCAAAATTGTAATTTCGGGGTCACAAAATAATTTTGCGTGCAAGTATAGTTCAAATAATAGAAAATTCAAATAATAATATTAACTTTAATTATTATAATAGAAAATTTATAAGAATTTAAAAGAAATTTGAAAAAATCTTAAAAAGATAAATAAACATCTTTTAAACTTTCGTAAAATTACAAAAAAACAAAATAAAAATTAAAATATTATTATTTTTATAAAAAGAATAAAGATGAAAAAAAGTATAAGTAATATTTTATAATTATAAACAAATTCAAAAAATATAAAAATCTTTAGAAATTTTTGTATTTTTTTATATTTTTTTTGACTTCACTTATAATCTACAAATTATAAAGTAATTTTTTACTAAGATATTTTTAATATAGAAAGAAAAGTCTTATTTTTAACTACAAAATAATATATATTTTATCCTAGTAACATTAATATTTGTGAAGTTATTTCAATTTAAAAAAAAATGTTTGTAAAAAAATCATAAGAAAAATTTTTCTGAGATTTTTATATAATTTTTTTACAATCATTTTTCTTTAAGTAAAAATAATTTCACAAATATTGATATTATCAAGATAAAATATATATCACTTTTTAATCAAAAATAATATATTTTTTTATTTTGAAAATATCTTAGTAAAAATTACTTTATACTTTATAAATCATAAGTGAAATTAAAAAATATAAAAATTCTTCATTAATTATTACTTTTTAAAATTTACTAATATTATATTAAACTTGTGAGTCACTATATAGGTTCATGAGCTTACTTATAATTTTTAACTTAATTAGACTTAATAAACTAGAACTCTTAAGACTTATAAAAAATTTTAATTATAATTTTAATACTAAAAAAAAAAATTATAAGAATTTTCAAAGTTTCTAAATTAAAATATCAAATATTAATATAAAGGGTGAGAATATATTAGTAAGTAAAATATTATATATATTTATAATTTATTAAAATTTAAAATTAACATATAAACATTATTACTAGTAGATCTTTTGAATTAATTTTATTTTTCAAAAGATAAGTTACAATTAGTAACTTGTAAACAAGAAGAAATGTGTTTATGAATTGTAAAAATAAACTTAACTAAAATTAAAAGAATAAAAAATAATATAATTATATTAACAAATAATAAACTTAAAATTTATAGGAATATTAACAAGAGTTTATTAATAATAATTTATATTTAAAGAATATAAATTAATAAAAAATAAAAAGTTTAAGTAAAAAAATATATATTTATTATGAAATAAATTAATAATTTTATCAATTAAGATTGTTAAAATATTAATTTAATATTAGAATTAATTACAAATTCAATTCAGTAAGATTTTTATTTAAATTACAATTTTAGATCTATTGAAATCTATTTTAAAGTGAAAAAAAATTTCACTTTTTTTGTAATATTTAACTTAATCAAAGACTTGATTAGTAACTATACTAATATTTTTACTAATAATTATGTCAGCCAGTTAACTATTAACTTTAACAATCAGTTAATCAATTAGTTAATTGTTAAATTGGTCATTAACTTTGTTACTATGATCTACATTATTGATATATACTATAGTAAATAATAAACAATAATATTAATAATAAATATCTTACTAATAATAATATAAATGTTAATAATAAAATAATAAATACATAATATAATAATAAAATAATAATAAAATAAAATAAAATAAAATAATAACAGAGAAAATCATATGTAACAATATATTTTTAGAATTAAAAATAATAGGTTACACAAATTCTACAACTATTATTTATAAGTAAAATTAATAGAATATATATATCTATATATTTTTGTTTATTAATTAAAGTTTTTTTATTAATATTAAACTAAACAAAAATAAAATAATTATATTGAGTATTAAAATAAGTTGTCAAAGGTTGAACAGTAGAATAATTGATTAGGCAGTAGAACAATTATTTAAATAATTATTTATTATTTGTTTAAATAGCAAAGTATCTTAATTTATTTAATAAAATTTTATAAAATAATATAAGTATATATAAAATATTATGCTGAAACTTTTACTTAGAGATCAAAGATAGTTGATATAATAAAGTTCTGAGTTTTTTTACAATCATAATTATTTTTTATCTTTATAGATCTTTATTAATTCAATTACAATTAAATATCTAAATAATTATAATTATATTTTAAAAATATACTAATGTGATTATTATTTATTTTAGATTTGTTACATGCTCATAGAGGTTTAAATGTTAAAATTCCAAATCAACTTTGGAAAATATATTTTTCATTCATATATATTAGCAAAAACAGCTAAAATTTAAATTTTTTAATTGATTTTTTTTTTGTTATAATCTTTTTTAATATTATTAATAAATGGATTATAATATTTATTTTGATAATGAAAGTGCAAATAAAACTATTTTATCCACTTTTGAAAAATTAATTGATACTTTTTTATTACAAATTCAAGTTCTAAAAGTAAAAAGATAAAAAGATAATTCAGATATAAAATTTGTATAAATTTAATTCACGTGATTTAAACCGATTTTTTTCTCGAAATCAGATGATTTTCCGAAACCCCTTTTTTCTGTGGCGGACCCCATATACAAGATAAATGTTACAAATTCATTTTTCCCATTTTGTATAAATATATATTTTATATAGAATTTTATTTTTAATAATTATAAACGATATTGTTAATAGATTCCAAACAATGACTTCTTTTGATTACACAGATTTTTTTAACGATTAATGGAGTCTCCCTCTTTATCTAACGGAGTCTCCCTCTTTATGAATTCATAAATGATAACCACCATAAAAATTATATTGTGATAAGAATTGGCTAAAGATAAAACCACTCGACTCTCCGTCACCTGATATTTTATTTTTAGATAATGAATAAGAAAATTCCATATCGTCTCAGTAAAGAAATTGGTATACATTGTCTTTATTTTTACATATACATCACGTTATAGGTCATATGAATCGGAGTAATTTAATTAGTTTTAATTAGGTGTAAATATGTAATAAATATGTAACACAATAAATATTATAGCAAATAATAAAAAAAAAATCATTTCATAAAGGGAAATAATAAAATATGTTAATTTATAATAATTATTATTATTATTTACCAATGAATATTTTTAGAATTTATTTATTTCATACTTCTTTATAGTCCTTATACTTTTTTATCTTCTTTATACTTCTTTTATAAATGACGTATTTATTTAATAGAGTAATAAAGTTAACAAAGTTAATAAAGTAAACAAAGATAGTAATAAATTGATTCAAGTATACAAGTGAATTACCAATAGTAGAACCATTCTAGAATATTTCTGTCTGTGATGCAATTCTGGGAGAATGGGAAAATCCTCTATTAATTGGTCCATTAAATATAGTTTAGGAATTAACCTAATTTATCTAATTTATAAAATTAATATAATCAAAATAACTAATACATTTATATACAATATATTATTTTAAAAAAATAAATTAACAACAATTTATATAGTTAGATAAAATTAATTAAATAAAGAAATTTCATACGAATGGATAATGTAATACGCGCTCACTGCCCTTTAATATTTGAAAATTTCCATGGAAAATACCTATAGAATATAGAATGTTCTATCCCATAAAACTTGAATAAAACCCATATAAAAATTTTCCTTAATTGATTATTAAAGTTATTCTAAGTTATTCCGTGTTACCAACACAACAATCAAATAAATACAATCAATGCAAATGAATTTCCCACCCAATAATATCAAATCAACAAAAATAAAAACAGGATAATTGGATTCTTTTATTTATTTATTTATATTATTATGTATGTACTTAAAATTATTTAAATTATTTATTTATAGTTAAAAAAATCTTATAAAACCCCTCCTCAAATCTCTTCAAAAATTCGTTAAAAGTTTCAAATTTTTTTTTTTTTTTTTACCAAAAAATTAGCGAACATTTTAGAAAAAAAAAACAACAAACCACTAAAATTATAATCAATTAATCTATAAAAGAAAAAATGCCTGAATTCAAAAATGTTACAACTCTCTTGATACCCAATTCACATTGTCAATCTTATATTTCTCAACCTGTTTTAATTTTTCCTGAAGAAATGCTCAACGATGAACCCATGAGCATGGAAGAGGATTGTAATTCTTATTCAACTCCCTCATATTTAGATCGTAAAATAAATCGGTATAGAAAATTACGAGCTATGCATGAACGTGCTGGTCGTTTACCTAAAAGTCCCATCTCTGAAAATAATAATGAATCAAGAAGTACTTCAACTTCTAGTAATCGGAGTACCAGTAGTAGCAATTGTAGTAGTTACAGCAACAGTAATAATAATTCTGAAAACTAAATTACTAAAATTGGTTTTCATGCGTTTCGGCGTTTATAATGCAACCTCCTGAAAAATAAATTTTTTTCATTATTAAATAATTATCATGACCAGGCTAGTATTAATTAGAGTAATTTTAATTTTAAATAATTGGCTTATAGTTATACAAAAATTATTATAATTAAAATTGTAATAATCACAATATAATAATCACAATCACAATAATCACAATGTAATAATCACAATTCTGATATTACAATAGTGATTATAATAATTATAGTTATAATAATAATTATTACCTTTTTTTTTAGTTCTCTTGTCCACTTGATAAGAGAATTAAAAAAAGGTAGTATAATATTTATTCAGGAAATCAATTCAATATATAACATATTAATATAATCAATGATGAATTTTAATAAATCATAAAAATATCCCAATAGATTTTAATTATCAATTAGAAATTATTTTATCGCAGTTTGTGTTTTTCTTTCCATGTACATATTATATTTTGATCCGTTTCCTTTTCTCTTTCTTTTATTATTATTTATTTATTTATTCTAATGTTATTGTTTTTCTTTGTTATTATTTTTATCTCTTTTTTTTTTTAACCTTTATTTGTATATATTATACAATTCCTTTTTACTGTGGTAAAAGAATCCAAATAAACAAATAAAAGTGAACGTCTAAAAAAAAACATCTACGAAATTAATTTAATATTTTTAATATTTTTTATGTTTAATGTCTTAATAATTAATAACACGTCGTCGAATCACGTGGACACAATAAAATGTAAAATATTTATTAATTTCATAACTTTTATGGATTTATTCTTTATTTATTTCATAACTTTTATGGATTTATTCCCTTTATATTTCCTTTTTTTATTTTCCAAATTCAGATTCTTAATATCAGATATCTATTTCAATTTAAGTAAAAAATATATTTTGAGCAAAAGATGTATTACTAAATATCCCCCCTAAATAAAAAAAAATAAATATTAGAATTTTTATTTGCTTCTAGCTAAAAGTAGTGGATTGAATAAAATATTTATAATTCCTTTAACTCAACTAAATTTAATTAATATATATATATTAAGGATAAACATAATAATAACGCAATGCAGAAAATCAAATAATTTAATTTAATTTTTTTTGTTTGTAATACTATATTTTTTCATGGCAATAAAGTTTCTTGATGACAATGTCAATAATGGTAAAATAATTTATCAATACATGTGATTGTTTAATCTAATGGTAATGGCATTATTTTTTAAACAAAAGAAAGGCATGTGACCTATTGATCACGATACGTTACATTTGTGTATTTAATATTAGTAAAGCATACTTTTTTTAATTGTTTAAATGAATTTCTCCAAAATTTTCATATGTAAAAAAAAAATGTTGAACGACAATTCATTCATTGAAAAAAATAAAAGGGTTAATAATTTCCTGAAAAATATTAATTAACATAAAATTTTTTAAACTCAAAGTAAACAAAAAAAATAACATCGGCTAATTGCGAAAAACCGGTTTACTGTCCCATATTTATGTATAAAGGGTATGACAAGCTCTAAATTAGTACTGTAAAACACAGAATGGATCGGATTAGATTCTTAAATTCCGGCTCTCATTCACGGCAATACTTTATTTAGAATATCAATTAACTCTATATATCGCCTAGTTCAAAATGTATATATATAGTCTAGCCCAAAATGTAACGAGATTTTTTTTTTTTTGCGAAAGTAAAAGAACGAATTTATTTAAAAACTTTATTTATTTAATTGATTTGGTAATGAATCATTCTTTCATAACTTTTTCATAATCATTGGTTATTACACTATCTTTTTTCTCTCATAAATAAAATAAATATTATAACTTAAATCTTTTGAATAAACCAAAGTACAAACCTTGGTTTACTTAATACTTCGAGTATAATATTTTTAACAAATGCTGCTTTTTTTTTATGAGAGATCCAGTGAATATTTGTAAGTTTCTTTATATAATTTCTTTGATAAATAATAAATTGGTGTCATTCTCGTCATTCTCGTAAAAGTTTAGATAAAAAAAAAATCTATCTATACAAGAAACTCTTCTCATCATTCAAACAATAAATCACAATTAATAATATCACCAAAAGTTGAAAATCAATCCTACTCTTTTTTAAGAGTATTCAACATTTCCCTTATTCACAACGTCTTGTAATACTTGTTTCGAACAGAGAAATTCCTCCTTTTTTGTAAGAAAAAAATGAGTCATTTTGAAAATGTGATAATCACTAAAAATGAAGAAACCTCACAAAATGAACCCGCCCAAAATGAGCAAAATGAAGAATCTATGCAAAAGGAAGAATCTGCTCAAAGGGAAGAATCCGTACAACAATTTCCCCGAATTAATAATGATCGTAAAACCAAAAATTATCGAAAGGGACGTTTCAGTGAAGAGGTAACTAAAAATGATAAATAAGAATGATTAATAATGAAATCGATTTTATATTTAACAATATTTTCCCGAAACGTCTAGGAGGATCGAATGTTGATCGAAAAATACAATATGTTTATTGGAGATCATAAACATAACATTTTTTCTGTCATCGAACAATATTTGAATAGAAATCCAAAATCTCTTAGAGAAAGGTATTATCTTTATAAAATTTAAATTATCTTTAAAAAAAAAATGGTAATTAAAAAATTACTTCTCTTCATTTTATATTATAGATACTGCAACCACCTGGATCCAAATAGTAAATTTCTTTATATTTATAAAAAAAAAAAATTGGTTATTATTTTAAATTATTTTATTAAATCAATTTTAAATTTCATATATTTATAATTTAATAGTTGATCATAGCGAACTTAGTAAAGAAGAAAAGGCTAAAATAAAATCTATTTACGAGACCTTAAAAACTCCATCATTTTCGGAGATTGCACGTATTCTTAATACGTACAATTTAAAAGGTAATAGGAAGCGCCGTACAGATCTCGTGGTTAGAAATTACCTTTCTCCTCGGTTAAGAAAGGAGAAAAGAATTAGAGATAGAATGAGTCTTAGTGTTATTTTGAATCAATAAAGGTACAAAGTCTTAGAATAATATATTTAAATTTTTTTAAAACTTATTTTCACACACACACATATATATATATATTTTTTTTTTATATATAATTTATAGACGAATAATTTGATTTATAATATAATAAACTTTAATAATTTAATTATATATATATTGTTATATTGTAATTTTCTTTTACTTTACTTTTCTTTCTTTGTAAATATTTTTCATGCCTGTAAATTATAAATTTGTATTTTACTTATTTTATCACTTATTTTTTTTTTATATTAATTAGTTATTATTTTATTATTATATTATTATCTTATATTATCTTATTATTATCATTATTATCTTATTATTATATATTATTATTTATCATTATTATTATTATAACCCGAATATTATTATATCCCCTTATATAAATTATCTGGTAACCAATAAGAAGAAATATGTATAAATAATATTTCGATATGTGATCTTATTTTTAATCGTATAGTCCTTTTCCTTCGATTAAATATATTTATTTTTTTTTTAATTTAAAAAAGTTTTAAGCTTGTTTTTTTTATTACATTTTTTTTTAATGAATTGACAGAATGAAATGCGAATATTTAAACTTTTTGTTATTCCAAATTCGGTTTCAATCAAATGAACACCGCATTGATTATCATTGGTACAAAAAAAAAAAAAAAAGCCTTCGAAAATCATGATCATAAATACGTACGTTTTAAGATTTTAAAGAAATTTCTAGTGGAGCATTCATCGATGTTGCATTAAAATTGTTTGCATGAATAATATTTTGTTTTCGATAGAGAAATATTTTCTAATATTCCATATGCTAAAGCATTTTGAGAACTTATTTTGAAACTAAAATTAATATGACTAAAAGGTTTATATTATGCAAATATTTATTATAATTTTTCAAATTAATTAATATCATTCAAAGAATATTTTGGAAATTATTAATACTATTAGATGGATATCAATTCTAATTCCCTTGCAGGAGGAATGAATATGTGCGTATACAGATTACGAAATCAGATAAAATATAAAAAAAAAAAGAGAAAATGTATATATTAACTATCTTGAAAAGAATATCAATTGGTCAAATTTCTTTCATTTTAATATAAAATCATATAAAAAATTAAAAAATTTCTGCGATCTTTTTAATATAAATGTAGTGTATAATATATTCCAAATTTTTTAGTTATAAAAAACTTAGAGAATCATCTACTTCTCAATTTGAATGGCCAAACATGATTTGATAATGTAATTGAAAGCTCAAATAAATCATAAATTCTTAAATATATAAAAAATGAGCATTTTGAATGATTTCAATGTAATTTCACAAAAAAGGTAATATAAATTTAAATTTAAATTTTTTAATGAAAACAACATTATATTTGATACAGATTTCTATTACATATTAGTGATTAAATATATGGTTTTGAATTTATTCTTTATACTTAATAAACAAATGCGGAATATATAATTATGAAATCTGAGAATAATCAATTTTCTTGTACCATGAAACTATTTTATCTGTTAGACTAAAGATTCCATATGTATCTTTTTATATTATCACCTCACCTATAACCTGTATTATTTTTTTTTGTTAGACAACTTTAAGATTCTAACAATGAATTATATTATTTCATATATGTACTACTATCTAACCTAGTAACACTACATCTATAACAAGATATTTGCTACCAGTATTTATCATTGCGCACAGTATCATGGAATTCCATATTTTTCTGCACGATATAAGATGTTCTTTATTACACAAACTTAAAACTTATGTTCTCTTTAGAAACTTGTAATAGAATATTCTGAATTAAACTATTAATTTGATTTTTCATTCGTGTAACAAATTCAATCGGGAATACCAATACTTGAAATAACTTATATATTGACGTTACAAGTTTTCTAAAATAACATATATTAATGTTTTCCATTTTAAAATATAAATAAAACTTCATTTATTTGTTTTTGTTTTGACTTCATAATCACTATTGTATGATATTGTATGATATTGTATGATATTGTATGATTAAATAATAAGTCACGTTCTGAAATTATACTATTAATTCACATAGAATATTGAATTTCATTATTAATTAATTTTAGTCTATAATATAAATATATGTTGGCTTATATTTTAATAAATAAATAAATCCATTGATTAACTAAATCTATGTATGGAGGCCAATAACCATTTTCCGATTTATTTGAAATCATCTGTAGGAGACAATAAAGATGCACAGTTCAATCAAAAAGGGTTTGTTGAAGATTTCAAAATTGATGTCAAAGATAATGAGGAGCTAACATTTCGGTGGTACTTGAAAACTGCTAAGGAAGGAAATAAAAAAGTGCATAATAAACTTGGTGATTGTTATCAACATGGAATTGGAGTTACAAAAGATGAAAAGAAAGCATTTAAGTGGTACTTGAAATCAGCCAAAGGAAAAGATAGTGATGGGCAGAATAATCTTGGAGAATGTTATTATTATGGGATTGGAGTTACGAAAGATGAAGAAAAAGCATTTCAATGGTATATGGAATCAGCTAAAGGAGGAAATTGTGATGGACAATGCAATCTTGGTTATTGTTATCAAAATGAGATAGGCACATCAAAAGATGACGAAAAAGCATTTTATTGGTACTTGAAATCAGCTGAAGGGGGAAATAAACTGGGACAGTTTAATCTGGGATGTTTTTATGAAAATGGAATTGGAATTATAAAAGATGAAGAAAAAGCATTTCAATGGAACTTAAAATCTGCAGAAGGGGGAGATAGCGATGGTCAGAATAAACTTGGTCATTTTTATCAATTCGGGATTGGAACAATGAAAGATGAAGAAAAGGCATTTCAGTGGTACTTGAAATCAGCTGAAGGAGGAAATGGCGAGGGACAATATAATCTTGGTAATTGCTATCGACTTGGGAAGGGAACCATAAAAGATGAAGACAAAGCATTTCAGTGGTTCGTGAAATCAGCTGAACAAGGAGTTAGTAATGGACAGAATAATCTTGGAGAATGTTATTATCATGGAATCGGAACAATGAAAGATGAAGAAAAAGCATTTCAGTGGTATTTAAAATCAGCTGAAGGGGGATCTATTGTTGGGCAATATAATCTTGGATATTGTTATAATTATGGAAATGGAACTACTAAAGATGAAGAGAAAGCATTTCAGTGGTATTTGAAGTCAGCTGAAGGGGGAAATATTAATGGACTGTATAGTCTTGGCTGTTGTTATCAATATGGAATTGGAACCGCTAAAAATGAAGAAAAAGCATTTCAATGGTATTTAAAGACTGCAGAAGAAGGTGATAGTGATGGACAGAATAAACTTGGTCATTTTTA